AGTAGTTACATTAGCTGTGAGGCAATTTTCGTTACTGCATTAGCTGTTGAGCGTTCTACATAAGCTAGGGTTGATTTTCTTTTTACTACATAAGCTGTAAGTGTTTCTACATTAGCGGAGAGTTTTACTACATAAGCTGTGGATGGTGCTACATTAACGGTTGTTACTACATTACCTGTTGTTTTCTACATTAGCGGTTGTAACAGGACGCACCCAAACTTCGATGTTTACAGTGTTTCAAAAACCTGCTTAATATAACTTTTTACAGATGATTGATGTCGGGCCGTAAAAAAGTGTTTTCTACTCAAAAGTGTTTGGCGGGCCGCACACAAGTTTTAATTCATTTTCGCTGGCCGCAAAATAATTACCGTCGGACTGCATGCGGTCCGCGTGCTGCACTTTGCCACCTGTGCCCTAAAGGGACATGGTTAGAAAAATATTAAACTATATCGAGAAAACGATAATATTTCGAGGGAACAAAACTTTCGAGAGAACGAAATATTATTTCGTTCCCCTGAAATAGTTTAATATTTTTTCCAACAATTGTCCTTTTAAGTGCTCTGTAGAATTGCGATATCGAGCAGCTGACTATTCAGGCTGAAACAGACTTGAAAATAGCGGATTTTAGTTGAACAACTATTAAATAGTATTTTGTATTTTCAGACTCAAAAGTAAATGTAAATGTATTAAACTTCAGAATCTACTAAGAATCACTTGTATTATTCTTGCATTGCTCGAAAAGGTGCCGCACCAAACCTGATTTTTTTTCTTCGCTAAGCACCGCGCTTAATCGAGAGTATAATCCCTGTGTGTAATGAAACACTTTTAAACAGGGTTATAAATACAATGTATACAATGTTAAAATGAATAAATAACACAATGAAAACACAAGCATTTCTTTATAAATGTTTATATACGTTGACATAAGACCTATAATAGGCCTGCCGAACTAACGGAAATACGTGGGATAAGTAACATGGGAACGGGCATGAGCACCACGTACGCCAATATTTTTTATACGCACTCGAATAAGCGTCGCGTTGAAGCCTCCAAAAACATCTTATAAGCACCGCTGCACTAGTATTTACGGTAGTGACTTGTGTGTTGTTCTATCAAAATCGAACACTATGTCCCTCGTGAAAATAACACATGCGCAAAATTTTTTATATAAAGATGAATATGAATAATTCATATTTTACCAAAACATCCTACGTTAAAGAAAAAAAAAACGTGCATGCCATAGGCTTCCTTTACCATCATTTCAAAATTTTATACCAACAACTCTACATTATCAGTTTGGGAAACCTTTAGTTTGAATGGCGATATTTCACATATCGTGTCTTACATGATTATTTTTCATCTCAATATATCAGATTCATCTTTATGTTGATAATAAATTGAAGATGATAAATATATAATTTGATTTTCTGTATCCATTATTCTAATTGGCAAGCAGTGTGTATCTTTTATGTACATGATTATTGTGTTTGATTATGCTTTTAGTTTCTATTATTACCCAGTCATTACCAACACAAATATAGTAAAAAAGACTAACTTTATTTGTACTGATTTACTTTATTTTTCAACATTTCAGTCAAAGACGAAATGCTCTATTAGATTTATTCGCAGTAGTTGCAGTACAAGGTTTCCCGAATCTCGAAAATAGCGGCCCCAATAACTATATGATATTGATCATAAACATCCTCATTAATGAATATTATAACCCCTAAACCAGATAAGTACAGTACATTTATACCAGTGGCAGATCAATTTTCCCTGGGGAGTGGGTAAGGTTGGTGGGGAGGGGTCTTATTGTGAATAGCAATATATAGCACTGAACCTGGTGTTCCTATACCAATTTTTGGGTCGAGATACCCCCGGTAACTTTGGACTTTCAATATCTTGTCTAAATTTGTTAAAACTTTGTGCTACTACTGGGGAAGGAAGTACCTGGAGGGGTGTACACCCCATTGCCACCCCCTGAATCGGCCACTGTACTGATTTCTAGTAACCAAAACAATACTCTGTCCTTAAAACATTACCACATTCACAAGCAAACACTTTAATCACCATAACAAACTTTGGAACAATTTACATGCAAATCATTAACAATTACGTATAGAGAAATAGCACCCTGTATTGTAATTTGAGTAGCTTTATGCAGAAAAGAATTCCCGCACTAGCTCCACAAGTTATACCAAAAACACCCCACATATCTAAACCTACAAACTAAAATTTAGGGCTGTATTTTATACTCCATAGTTTTTAAAAATATCTTACATCTAAACAAGAAGTATACTCACGAATTACCCAGGAATCTGGAATTAGAAGGCAAACATTTTAACAACAACCTAGCAACAGGGGTCACAGGTTAAGGCATGGACATGTTTCATCAAAATACTAATTTACTTCACACCTTGCATTACACACTGTGAGCAGGGAATATCTAATTTTCTCGACCAATGGCAATAACAATACTAATATGATGTATGCTATTTACAGAGCATTATTGCACTAGTACTATGTTCTCACCAGCGGTGGCGCCAGAAATTTGCCGACAGGGGGGTCATAACCAAGGGGCCGACTAGAGACTCAGTCATGATCACGGAATGGAAACCAGTGGTAGGGTTCACAGGCAAAGCTATTATTGCTTTAGTATGGCCCAAGTTGTGCTTTTAGACCACACTATTAGGGGTTGGCAACAAAAATTACGTTATTTGGATAGGCAAATAATTATTGTTGATCTGATGACATCGTCGTAGCATTGGGCAACGGGGCCCAAACCCACCGCTGGTTCTGGCAGTTTGTAAAAGAATAAAATAAGATTGGGTCTTACTATGGCTATTTTTCACCTCTGTGTAAGCCATAAGTACAGCATTTTGTAAGTGAGTGGACCTTTTACGATACACTATGTTAAAGTTATAACAGATAAAGCTTCCAACAGCAGCAGATGTGTATATAAAAGGTAGACTATAGAGGGCAGCAAACACAGTAAATCTACATTATATTAACATCTAATAAGTATAAAATATATTCGTAGCTTAAAATACTCATTTTAAGCACATTATGGAAGTAACTAGGATAAAAAGGATATACAAAATGCAAATGAAATAAATGACCTATATGAGGTCAAAATATGCTAATTATTTGACCTAGATTATCAACTACTACAATAAACTAGAAAAGGGGAAACATTTTAAATGTATGAATTAGTGAAATAACTTCCCCATACCAATTCTTTCCTCTTTCTTATTGAAAAAATAACAAATTTAATAGATTACTGTGGTAAACAATGTACGACATTATACAACACCATCTGAAAATCTACAAAATGTAAATAAATAATTTTCGGATCACAATATTTATAACATTATTCTGGAACCTATTACTGTTTTTAACATTTAGTCATATGACCTTCTCGTTAAGCCCCGCCCCGCCTGGGATAATATTGTTAAGGTCACACAAACCAATAGCATAAATGTACGTAAACATATGGGTTTGTGAGACAACATGTGTTTTGGAGGACGCGCATATTAAAGGTCTATTCGGCAGTATGCAACTATGGCTACGTTCAGACTTGGAGATAAGCCAGGCTTGAGTTAAGCCTGGCTTTACTTTGCCGGGCGTTCAGACTAGAGGGTTTAGCCAGGCAAGAATTTGCATAATAATAAGTGTTTCAAAACATTGCTCGCGAAACGTACGTACGCTCGCTCACAACGTATGTAATTGAATGCTGTAAGACCCCCGCAACGATTAAAGCCTGGCTTAGAAAAGTTAAACATGGTGGCAAGCCAGGCCTTGTTACTACAGGAACACAGCCTGGCTTGAGATAAGCCACCAAGTTCAAACTGGCAGGTGGATAAAACCGGTGAGTTGAACCGGGTTTATCCACCAAGTCTGAACTAGGCTTATGAGATCTGATTTTCAGATTTTTGATACCGGGAATTTGTTTAATGTGAGGTCTCACCACGAAATGAGACGCATCGTTGAAATCATTGAGATATTCACCAGTATAGGGGGACTTAAGCCCCCCCATCGGACAGGTGAAGCCCCCCCACCTGACAGAGTTTGTCGGGCAGTCAGACCATAAAACATATAAAAATAGGCCCACACCAAGCGAACACATATCTGTCACAGTCTGAGAGTGCCATTTTCAGCCATCCAGAGGTTAAAAAAAATCTCATTTGGGAGGGGGACCCCCTCTTAACCCCCTTCCCCCAGCTCAAGCCAATGAGCTCAAGTCCCCCTTGTCGGACAACTTATTAGCCCCCCCCCACCCCAAAAAAATATATCCTAGAGCCACCACTGTGTGAGACCTCTCAAATGTTCTTAAGCCTGCGTCGGTGTTAACACTGTGCACATTACGAACTTTTCACAGAACATATCTATGATTACACTAACCATGCAAATGCAAAATCTATTCACCAGGGAGCAGAAAATGTGCTACCATATATTCTCGCCTATAAGATTTGCCTTAAAATAGCAAACTACGATCGAAGAACAGGGGGTGTCTTATACGCGCAACACATGCAAATTTACTACTGAAAAGAAGCTACTGTTAGTATAATATCTTAATGAACGCAATTTTGAAATGCAGGGAAATAAGATTTTGATTAACATTTAAAAACGGTTATCCCAATTTTGTGGAGGACAGCTACGCAGTGTCATGATTGCGTAAAAACCATAATGACAGTGTAGCAATTTTATGGAAATTCGGCTTTATTATATTGTAATCTAGCTAGGCATGTGATGAAACTAGTTCTAATCACAACTGGCCCTTTTGCAGATTAAATGTTGTAAATTTAGTGAATTTTTCAATACAGGCAAAGGTAGGAGATTTCCTACAGTTCCTCTTATGGAGAGGCCATTACAGTAGCTTCATGCTCAAAATAGTCGGAAAAACTGTACATAATCGCTTCTTTGTGCCCCAATATTTATCAAGTGTATTCACAATGATGTTCCTGATAGAGTAACAATGTTTATACCTGTGTGCTTTTATGATCAATGGCTTTAGGTGGTATCTTTTTTTTCATACCTCATGGTTCTTTATGTTAAAATGAAAACATTTTTCTCCCAGACAACCATAAAAGATGCTCGGACCACCCAATATACATCTATACTAAAATATAATTTTTTGATTAAAATTCTGCTTTCATTCAACAAAGGTTTTATAATAATATGAATAGATTCATTCATTTGAATACTTAATTCGGCTTTGATGAGAATTGTTCTGGTGTAAAGTTCATTGATTATAAAGGACAGAGGTCAAAGTACAGGGGTCACATACTGGCTACCTGAACCACACATGCACCAGCCCGGCCTGTATTCAATGGAGCAACCTAAAAAAGAAAGCATGGGGGAAATCAGTAATCATTTAATTGAAAACAAATAAACTTTGGCTACATATATTTTAATTTATAGGAAATATATGAGGCTTGCCATCCCATAATATTATAGCTAATTATTAAACTGAGTAATCAGCTTATGAACGTAGCAGTATTGTATACTTTAGTACAGAGAAGCTGTAATACTTTTACTCATAACTTTGGCAATAGAAAGTCAATTCCAGTAAATGACCCATCATTTTAAACCTTATTATGTGGAGAAAATGACCCATCATTTTAAACCTTATTATGTGGAGAAAATGAATATATTAAAAAGTTAATTTTCTTGCTTTGCTCATTGAGGCTGGTTTTGGCATGGCAAGCCCCATAAGGTTATAATTCGGTGTCAAATGATGCAACTCCCATCCGCCAACATACACACACCCCCACGAATGAAACAACAATTTACCGTGTTCCACTTCTCCAATTGAGGATCAAAAAATTCAACAGCATTTAGGTACATTGTCCCATCATAGCCACCCACAGCAAACAATTTATCCCCTAGAACTGATACACCGACAGCATCACGACACAGATTCATCGGCGCCACCATAGACCATGTATCTGATCGGGGATCATATCTGGAAAAAAGATATATATAATTGTAATAATGAAGATTTTATTCTAGGTAGATGAGACTGTTAATAATTTTTATTGTTGGATAAATATTTGTATTTAAATTTTATAATTTTTTCTTTTATGCATAAGCATCATTACTCCAAAGGCTTCTGTTTGACTAACTCTGTGGCTTGCTCGTACTTATTGCAGGCTTTGAAAGCGCAGTGAAACCATGTTTTATGACTAACAAAAAATGACAAATTAGTGGGTGTGTTTAGAGAAGCATGAGAGGAACAAACAGTACGTTGGAGGTGACCCTGGGTTAAGTACTATTTGCCAACATGCAAATGCCATTCCAATGTAGAAGAGTCAAAATTCAAATTATTGAGCGTACAAAAATGCGCAGAAGAATGTTACATTATTCACTATACGCTCAAGAAGATTTAACAGTTGCGCTTTTTCGCTTTGGACTTTCCTGCAGTGGGGAGCAGCCTGGAGACTCACTTGGTTAAACATATCGCAGATAAATTTATGTGAACTGGATTTGTATTTATCCAAATGAAAGGAAAGTCTATGATAATGCGAGCACCTTTCTACACAGTCAAACTGCCTTGAGCTTTGCTGACTGGCCGGGGCATCGTGTCCCCCTACAGCGTACAGGCATCCATTGCACACAGCTACCCCTAGGCCCCCTCTCCGTTTAGACATCGGGGCACACATCGTCCAACGGTTGGTATGCGGGTCATACACCTCTACAGAACGCAAGCATGCACTTCCATCTCGTCCCCCTACTGCATACAACCTGAGGGAGAGAAAAGTACCGTATTTATTTGAATAAACTTCCCCTCTGTACCCTCATTTGGAATAAACGCATCCCTTCAAATAAACGGTACTGACGGTTATTATGCTTGTAGCTCCATATTTACAGTGAAACTAAGAGGCGTACATATGAGTATGAGGCATGCTGTGGCGAAATGGTTTAGTTGTTGCACATGCCAGTATTGAGTAACTGAGCTATAAAATATGGGAGCTTAAAAAATTGCCTAAAAATCCAAATTTGTTTTTCATTATAGAACAACAGTTTAATGTCTTATTAATCATGTACCAAAGTATTGGTTCTGGAAGGGTCAACAAATTGTTTATTTGATAGTTGTTTTGATAGTTCATTCTATTAAACAATGTATGCACAAATAACTTTGAAAGGCAATTACTCAAAATCATGTTTATCTTGATTTTGAGAGTACTGTACTTTCACTTTCCAATAACTAAGGCTTGAAATGTGCAATTTCAATGAATGACTCCTCATTTTAAAGATCACATACTCAGGTATCTGAAAATACCAATAACTTTAATTAAAATTTTTGCCACAACATGCCTCATATACGTATCCACTTTACACATAAAAAAAAATATAAACGCCTCACATACAATATCACCCTGGGGCATTTATTCATTTTTTCATTTCCTTTATTCATCTCAAAACATAAAATTGACAATAAAGGAAACAGCAAGAAACAAGCACAGATAATATGAGACAGGACACCCCAAAAGTGAACTTAATCACTGTCGAGTGGGGCCCCTTCACAAGAAACAACCAAATGCTTACAGAATATACATTTTAAAAAAATATATAAACATTAAAAGTTAAAAATTTAAGAAGTTCAATAGTAAAATAGGCATAATTTAAAATATTTAAAATATTAACATTTTCAGATGATTAAATAAAATTTGCTTTAAAATTCAAATTTAAAATACAAAGGTATATTAAATAAAATAAAAGCAATTAAGCTATTCATCTCCATTAGTCAGGTCGACTAACAGAGAAGAAAGTTAACAATTGTAAAAATTCTATAGTAAAATAAGCAAATAAATACTCGAATAATACTATTTGAATAATACTATTCAAATAAATACTGTAATTAGTTGGAAATATATATACGCAAAAATAAATATAATATAATAAATAATGGAAATTTGATAGATTCTTACTTTTTGTCTAACACCGCTATACCAACTGTGCTCCTTGGTGTTGTCATTGGCGCTACATAACTCCACTGCTTACTTTGTGGGTCATATCGCTCAACGGTTGCTAAGTAACTCCAGCCGTCGTGACCTCCAACAGCATACATGGGGCCCTCTAATACAGTAACACCTACAAATACAATATTATAATTAATATTACAATAATATAATGTTTTCTATAAATATATATATATATTTCTATATTATTATATTTTTATTACAATTATTATTAAAGCACAAATCAAAACATAAAAAACAAAAAGGTATAAAGATTTGTCCATACTATCAAATTTTCTATGACAAAAAAAATGTGTGTGATGTGCCCATATATGGGCATGATAATGTCATACTACACCCAAATATTAGCATATAACATTTACATAACTTAAAGGCAACCTAAAATGATTATACCTAACATTATGGAAACTTAGTCTAGCCTAGAGAGCAGAGCTCTTACCTAAGCCATGCCTATGGGTCCCCATCACCGGGAGCATACTCCATTCACGAGTCTTAGGGTGAAAGCACTCGACCGTGTTAAGTGTCTTCAGTCCGTCCCTTCCACCAACCACGTACAGCTTGTCTTCAATCACTGCTACGCCGAACTGCAGACGTCGTCCACTCATGTGACCAACGTGTGACCAGGTGTTCGTACGGAGGTCATATTTTTCAATACTTGTTGCACCTGGCGGGAAAACAGTTGTATATATCAATAACATTTTTTAATTATTGTCTATTTGACATCAGCAGGAGAATTAGAACCTATTCTTTATGATCCACACTAAATACGATGTGAATATGTGACAGAGTATGATGTCGCACAGCATAGAATTAATCTTCAAAAAATAAAAAAAATTGTTGCGCGACAAAAATTAACAAATAGTAATTCCCATCATCGTTCTTTGCAAGTGTAATAAGCATTTATTGTGCGCTGTGTAATTTAATTGTAGTGTGTCATGTTTCTATAATTCTCACATACTGCTTTGCGTAAAGTACGTATAAATATCAAACCTTTGGTACTATCCATACCACCAACGGCATACAAGGTTCCAACCGTTGACTTGCGAGGCTTGGTTCGCGCCGATTGCATTACTGGACGTCTCTCTGGCAATAAATGGTACTTCATGGCCTCCATTATGAGACGCTGGCAAGATTCATCTCTGACTAAAGCATTATTATCGATTACGTCCGTAATAAACTGAAAAAAGTTAATAATTATACAAAATAAAGCAGTTGTAAAACATAACATTTCAATTAATAATATTTAATGACATATAATTTTTATTAAAATTAACTGCTAACGACAATAAAACTATTCACCTGTGGCGAGAGCAATGGCATACGTATATGGGCAAGTAATTGTGCGATAGCGGTGTGTCGGTTTGGCAAGTCATGCTTGACCCAAGCGAGCATGGCGTAGTAGACAGTCTGCTCGTTGCGAACGTTCAAGTCATCGCTGCTCAAAAGCTCACAAACTTCGTCAGCAGCTAGGATTAGGAACTCTTGGTTCTGGGTTACTTCTTCAAAATGTTCCTAGATCAGAGAAAAATGAATTAATGTTATAACAAGTCCTTGTAATCTCGAAAGATCCAAAGATTGCAGTATAATAAACGCAGTAGGGTATATTGGCCCTAACGACTGACCATCAAAAAAAGATCTATTAATCAATCAGCTAGTGGCCCTAACAGCTGCCCATATAAAAAAGATCTATTAATCAATCAGTCAGCAGGGTACTCCTAGAGCTCCTCATCGGAGTTAAAAATATACTAGTCAAAAGCATTAATGTGGCATTTCATTATATCATGTTAATACATTTTGGGCCTTCCATACATCCTTAGTTTGCTTGATATAAATTTTGAAAATGCTATATTTGTATATCTCCTATACTTCTACATAAAGTCAACATCATCATATCAATCCACATCTATACCCTTGTATCTAAATTGTGTGTAATAAATAAAATTACAAATATTTTGATACAAAGTTTAAAAATACAAATTACATTTACTATCAAATTATACTTTGTATATAGACAATGTTCATGGTAGTACTCACTGTTGTATAATTATGGGCAACCTTTAGTAGATCTTTACAGCCCTGTGTATCGGCAAATGCGCGGATGCCTAAACAGTTGGATGGATGCAACTGTTTCATCAGGTAGCCGCAGCAGGCCTCCACTACCTCCGACAGCTGCAGAATGCACGCTGTTGCCAATAGGGCTTCGACATTGTCTTCGCGAAGGTTGGTCCGGCCTAAAATTATAGAATCATTCAAAATGATACAGAACATACAGAAATTAATTATTTTATAAAGAATTCTGTACGTTTAAAATTGGTGTATCAAAAGATACTTCCACAAAAAATATCCTTATTATAATTTAATCAAATTATGACAAAGAATCTGATTCTGAATTTACATAAGTTACTCAAAATAGAATAGGGAAGAAATAAGTATAAAATGAGGCATGTTGTGGCAAAATGGCTAAGTTGTCGAACAGTCCAGTATTGAGTAAATGAGCTATAAAATATGGGAGCTCAAAAAATTGCTAAAAAATCCAAATTTGTTTTTCACTATAGATCAACAGTTTAATGTCTTACTAATCATGTGGTTAACAAATTGTTTATTTAACGTTATTTTTCATAGTTCATTCTATTGAACAATGTATGCACAAATAACTTTGAAAGGCAATTACTCAAAATCCTGTTTATCTTGACTCTAAGAGTACTGTACTTTCACTTTCCAATAACTTAGGCTTGAAATGTCCAATTTGAATGAATGACCCTTCATTTTAAAGATCACATACTCAGATATCTAAAAATACCAAACCCTTGAATTTCAATTTTTGCTACGACTTAGCAATTTTGCCACAACATACCTCAAATGTAGTGGACTGTATCAATATCAGCAAGTACTGAGTAGAAAAAAAAAATATAGCTAATTATTTCATGTGTCACTAAAATATCCTTAAATTGTAATGTAAGAAAGACTGATTGATTGATGTGAAGTGTCAATCAATCAATCTTAGTTGATTGATTGATATTCATATATGTGAGGCCTCATAACAAAATGAGTCTAATGGTTAGAATATCAAAAATTGAGTTTATATTATATTTGGGTAGATCACATTATAAGCTTTAATTTGGTCTTTGAATGGCTTCACTAGGATATGTAGATCCAGAGATGTGAGCATTTAAATATTATGTGTAAGAGAACCACATTTTGAGAAAATTGGCCTCCAAGATAAACTAACCTGTACAAATAATAGGACTAGAAATACAGAATATGCGCAAAGAACACTGTTTTAGTAAGAAAATTCACTTAAAAAGTTTACAATCATTAAATATAAAAGTGTATATATGTTTGTTAGTGCATATTTATGTGTATATTTTATGTATATATATTATTATATTGTATTATAGATTATATATTTTTATATATTATGTATATATATATTGTGTATAATTTTGATATGATTATGTAATATATTGTAATATTGTTATGATTATGATAATAATAATAGTAATTATAATAATAGTAATAATAATAATAATAATAATGGTAATAATGATAATAATAATGATAATATTAATGATAATAATAATGATAAGAATAATGATGAGTATAATAATGATAATAATAATGATAATGTTGGTGGATGATAGGCCTGGTTGTTTGTATCTTTTGTGTATTGCTTTTGGATGCTGCTTTTGTTTTCTTGTACTGTTTTTGTGTATCTTGCCTTTTTACTGTTTTCTTAATTGTTCACAGAGATTTCAGCTTATGCTGCCCTCTGTTTTTAATGTATTTTATTGGTGAATAATAAATAAACCTGAACACAAATATAAATATCAAGTTATTTAAAAACATTAAAATAAAAATTGTGTAAAATTTTGACTTTGACCTATTCTGGTGATTATCTCAAAATGATTTCACCAACGATGCATCTCATTTTGTGGCGAGACCTAACATATCTTGTGCAGAGTCTAAAAACTTAATATTTTAAATTATTTGTTATTGTTACATGAAAATTAAAGTCCCAAAATACAGCATGTTTGATTGTTTGATCACTTTCATAAAAGATGAAAAGGAAAAAAAAGAAGGAAAAGAAAGAGTGTAGGCCTACTGATGTGTACATTGATGCACAGTGGCATATCTAGGAGTTTTGAAGTGGGGGTGCTGATTGGGGGGGGGGGAGACCTCAATGATCAGTTTCAGGTGCTTTTTAACAACTTGACCATGATTTTTTGGGGGCGCCTGGAGGGAGCGCGAGTAATTTTTAGATATGCCACTGTTGACGCATATGCCACTGACTATGCAAGTGTTCTATTCTGATACCTGTGTATATGTAATGAATACATGCTTTCAATGCATTTGGATCAAGATTATGGAGTTCGATCTCAACTTCGGTGGCTTCGCGGACATCGTGCGTAAACATAGCACCAAAGTAATCCGAGACTGAGCTGAGCACCAGTCTATGGGCAGGAATTCGTACATTTTCTGCAATTAAAATGACGTCTGTCAGTTGTTTGCGGTGCAAATATCCTTCCATTTTCTTGAATGTTCTTTCAGCATGGTTGATGGAACGAAAACACTCTCCCTCACTCAAATCCTCCATCAGGTCAAAAAGTGGCTGTTACAGACCACAGAAGGTCACAGAGTTTACACCTGAGAGAAGATAAAATGTCAATGTCAATGAGCATGCCATATGTTAATGTTAGTAAACAATGTCATAAAACATTTAATTCCAAATAAACGTAAGAAGATAAAATTTAGCGCATGGGAAAAAGCTATGCCTAGATCTAAACGATTGCCTTCTTTCCCAGAACGCCTCAGCCTTCGCTAGGCGTAGGCTTATATCTAGCCGAGAAGGTTGTAAACTTTACTACTCGTCCTATCTTGGCCTAGGCCTAGGCCCTAGGCTTCTAAAGGCTAGGCCTACCGCCTAGACATGTAAAAAAAAACTGCCCACACAGAGCTGGTAGAACGTCACAGATAAAACAACGTAATGTGTATTGATCATCATAAAAGCGTTCCTCACCATTTTAATCACCATTTAAGCCCTCAAAATATCACCGACATTCTTAAAACAAAAGGTATCCCTGGATTCCTTAGCGTACGTATTCAGCGCGAGCTGCGAAATCATTATGTAGGTCACCGACATGACAGAAGCTATTTGCCAGGCAACGGGCCGAAAGACTACACCGCAATTTAAGACCGCACTCGATTTTGCTCGATGGTCGAAGTTCGCTACGGTACTGAACTCCATCCTAGGAATGAATTTCTTTATGTTTATGATATGAATATTTGTTATACTTAGAATGGAATACAACGCACGTACTACTTTTTAAAAAAACGTGAATTATTGTTTAAATTGCTTAGTGCAAATTATAATTTATTATTTCAATGATAATACTAATTTATTCATTTAATGCGGGCGGATTTGAACATTGAAATTTAAAATAGACAAGAATACACATTTATAATATAAAAGAGAACAATATGGAAAGCTAAAATTCATGGAAGCTAAAATTCAACAGCATTAAAGTCAATCATATTAAATCCAATTCAAGAAACATAACACGCAACAAAAAACAAAAAAAAATTTAATCAGAAAATCATTAGTTTCCACTGTTTAATGATTACCAGTACTATCTATAAAATTATTATTATAAATTTTATTAATCTTTAATTATTTTCTCTGCTGTCGTCGGATTTAGTCTATTATTAATATTTCTAGGCTTTTATCAGATTAGGCAGTAAGTTAATACGCTCTGTGTATAGTAATAACAACAACAACAACAATAATAATAATAATGGTTAAGTAACAATTATTGTTGTGTCTTCTTAATAATGTGACCATTATAAGTATTTTAATAATAATAATAATAATAATAATAATAATAATAATAACAATAATAATAATAACAATAATAATAATAATATCATCTTCATATCATCTTCATATCATCAGCTCATCATCTTGATCATCGGCATCCGCATCATTACAGTTATAATGGTCAGTTAAAATTAAAAGCTAAAACAACGGTTTTTAACACGAATCTAGGTGTACGTTTCCGTGTAAGTATCCAAAAACATGACCTTTGATCAGGCCTCACGTGAGTTCACTCAGGCTTCAAAAACACAGTCCGGAAAAGGTGGTGAAACGCAGGCTTATTCCCTAAACAAATACCTATTGTAATTATGGATGAAGTTGATAACATAATAATTCATACTTTTCGCCAAATTGGATGGTAAGAAAGATTCAGATAGGCATGATTTATGTTTTGTGACCAATATACCTAGGCGAGGCCCTACCTAGGCTAGGCCTAGGCCATAGCCTTAGGCTCAGGATTAAGCTAGTGCTAGAGCTGTAAAGAAGTTTATTAGAGAGGGCCTGCTGGTGGTGGGCTGGGTTGCTAACAAATGCTAGGTCATGAAACTCGAATGAAAAAAATAAATAACATAGACATAGACATAGGACTAGACCTAGACCAATGAGGAGGTCTAATAATTATATAATATAATAAACAAAAAAGTAATTGAGGAAATCTTCTGTTGTCCATTTCCTGTGTAATTTCCTATCTAGGCCTCTAGGGCCTGCTGGCCTAGGCTAGGCCCTGTGATTGTCAATTGACACAATGATGATGCATATCAAGTAGCAATGCAGGTGGACACACTGCACACACTAGTTATTTATTACATTAAAAGATTAACATCCCACACTAACAAATGTATTAAAATATATTTTATTATTTTAATTGGCATAAAATGAAATCACTAGTAGTTTTAAACAATGGAACACATTTTTGTCCCATGCACTTCAAAATTCAGGTTTAACAAATTGTTGAAAACTCCTCTGAAATGAGTAGGGGATTGTGTCCTGGTGTACTGCCCAGTTACCCCCAGAAGGAGGCTACTGGCTCAAATAAGTCTTTGGATTTCATGGGTTATCCTTGGTGTTTAAACTGAATGAATCCAACTAAACTTTTACTAGGAAAAAGTATTGCTTTTACATTGCCTTATCAATTAATTTAATTAGCATGTTTTGTTGCGATTAATTTTCAGCGACATCAGTTCGGAGATCCAAAGCTTGCAACAGTTTTCTACAGAGCTCACCGTCGAGGCTGTAGCAAGATGCTTGCGAATAATAGACGACAAGATCACAGTGTCGAAGTCACTTCCACCTGGGATGTCTGCAAGATTCAGGGTTGGAACAGATCTAGCCAATGCATGCATGGTTAGTACTTGTGTATAGCCAATACAGAGCATACACTTTTTATTTTAATACTTTATGTGCTTACATGCAGAGTTGGTGGCAGTGACTGTTTGGGTTCTTATCTCCCCCAGCCTAAAGCGCTGTTGGCCATGACTAGCTTGACTAAAGATATGTGTATAACAAATATATATGAAGACAGAAACATATCCCCCCCCCCCACCTTCAAATTTAGAGACCACCCAAAGGTGGTTTCAAAGTGAAGGGCGAAAAAATGTCTCTAAACAGATTGAAGTATAGAAAGTAAGCTAAATTTGTCCAGTGTCTTAGACTCAGTGGTCTCGGCTGTGTGGATCCCACAATTGCTTTTCCCCTGCATCCTGCTGGCCTTTGCTAAAAATTATCAGAACCCCTGCCATATCGTCTTTCCTAGATATTGCCAATACTGTATGTCAGAACATATTTATTTAATTTATGTCAAGTTTTATTCCTTCACAAACTATTATAATTTCATGTTAATAAATTGCCAAAAAAAAAAAAATACTTGAGATGAAAGAAGTATTGTCTCTGACAATGGAAATCGTTGCTTGCATTTAGTATTTATCATTTGATTGAATTTTAATTAAATTAATTAATTCTTTTTTTAATAGTCATTGGGCTACAAAGGTGAAATTGGGTATCAGACATTCCTGTATGCAAATGAGGCGGATATAAGGAAAGTGCTCATGTTTCTCATTGAGAAACTTCCTAAGGACACATCAACAACTGCAGATGAACCTCTAGGTAAGTGGGGAAAGAAATCCAAAATGATCTCCCTCGGCCAGTAAAAAATAAACTTTTATAAAATAATAAAATCATTGTCTTTACCATAAATAAGTAGGCTTTTTTGTTTTGCAGGGGCAATTTTCACACCAGTCTAAATCAATTCCTAATTCTGATTGGATGTTATAGGTATGTGTAGATTGAATTAGAGCTCATCCAATCAGTGAATTAAAACATCCAATCAGAAATAAGAATTGGTTTCAGACTTCAGTAACAACAGCCTTTTTTAAAACAGTGAAAGTTGATTTTATTTTATTGTTTCATTGGAAGTTAAGAACTCAATTCGTCTTTATAAATATATAAGCAATTAGATTTTCTTTTTTTGAAACTTATGCTTTTATTTCAGATTTCAACAAGGTTTTAAAATATTATATATCTAATTAATATAAACATTATTTTGGTTCTCTTATCTAGGCAAGTCTGCACTTCTCAATCGTGCTATATCCCAGGCCATTATGGCCCAGCTACAGAGCCCTTGGCTCCCACCTCACTGTAAGCGGAGGGGGTACCGGTGGAAGAATGCAACATCCTGGACTAAGGAAGTATGCAATGCTATATTTTATATTAATATATTTTTAAATACTGTTAGGGCCCTTATTTTTTGTGGCCCTCAATTTGTTCGCGATTTCACTAAATAAAGTGTTCCGCAGCATTTTATTTTCAAGATTCAACATTTCCGAGAGATTTTTTTTATAACTCACCGATTTTCAAAATTTTAAAGCTACACAGTAAATTTTTGAAACTACACCTTCGAACAGGGTGAGTACAGTTGTTAGGGATATTAGGCTAGTAGTGTACAGACTGGCCACTGGCAAGTCCCACTGCTGGTGTGGTGAGCCTACATCAAATTACAATTACCAGTTTTATTAACTTTACTCTCCATGCTTGGATATCATTTAAAAGTTGAAAAAGAATTGAGTGAGTGGTTGATTGGTGATGGGTTTATACCCAAGTACCAGAAAATGCAAACAATAATTACACTACAGGCCTGTAGAGAGTCTGACCTAAGATGTTGGCCTCACAAATTATAGATTGTTTTGGTTGAGGAGGACCTGGATGGGGCATTGTTCATACTTTAGGTGAAGGACAGAATAACTATAGTTAATATATTATACAGAAGTAGATGAAATGGATCCCATTTAGAGCATAACATTTTTTTGTAAATCTAGGAAAAATTGAAAGTACAGAATAATTCTTCTTTTCTAAATTGTTGATTTTAAATTAAATTTTCTAAATAGTATAATAAAAAGTACTGAAGTAGATACAATTGTATGTATAATTATACTCTTTGATTTTATAACCTTATTCTTGATTAAAATTATGCAGAATTCTACTTGAATTAGCTGCTTCCAATTCCTAAGTATCCCTTGTGCCTTAGGGTGTACTTCGTAAAGGGACGGATATTGATTCTAAAGCCGGACACTCCCTGCGTCGTACGACAGTCATACGGCTGTCGCACGACGAATCCACATTTGCTTCCGGTGAGCAATAGACAACGCAATGCCATCTGCTGATCGTCAGTGGCAATCTCAACGGATCCTCATTAAAAAGACGATCCGTTGGGTCCGCGTCTTTGCGTGCATTCTTCGTCGCATCATCGTCGTCGCACGCAGTGAGTAACCGGCTTTACAAATCAATAAAACTTCTGATGCCACAATAAATCAGTTTGCAGCCCTCTAGAGAAGGTTTTTTTTTTCTGTAAAGTTTTTTTTTTTTTATAGTATCAGAGTGTTTTAATTCCCATTCTAATGTTGGCTTCCAGTGTATCAATGTTAACATGCAAAATATCTTACAATTCCACCCTATGGTAATAATTGTTTTGAAATTTCAATAGTAGTGGTAAAAAAAAGTAAATAGAACATTAGAACAATGTCTCTTTTGATCAAAATAAGTCTTTTTAAGTGTATATTTAGTACTTTTTGTAGTAACCTCAAATGGTCTATTAACAGTTTTAATCTAGTCTAGCATTTCTAAGATTTTTATATATATTTCCCTAGGGTTGTCGGGGTATGCATGGCTTCCACAGCATACATATTTCTATCCCTCAAGGCATGGGGGATGTCACCAGGAAAGTCCCTAAAGGTAAGATTTTGAAATGCCTTGGAATTTTTTGAGGAAATGAGAGAATATGATATTTGGTATGCTAATGAGAAAATACCACTAAATATTTTCTGTAAGTACTCTAGCAGTGGCGGACCTGGGAGTTTGAAATAGAGGGGGGGGGGGCCGAGGGAGGGATTTTCATAGGTAGAGGGTCTGCACTACCTCCTCTTTGGTTCGGGCTGATGTAAGAAAATTGCACTGTCAGACTTATATTTATGGGGAGGGGGGCCACTGTCTAGTTTACGTTCTGATGCTCAGTATTATAAGAACATCTTAACCAAGAGCATTGTATTATAGTCCTGTGCATGATCCATTCCCTGCTATAATTACCAGGACTTTTCTCTAACATCACCGACATCTCCATTGTATCTATAATCATTAAATATGGGATCAGTAGTCCAAATTTTGGGACTAATAGGCCAATATATAGTGCAGAGTTAGAGATTATTACAGTAGTCCAGCTTTTGACACCAAGGATCCAACCTCTTTTGGACAAATACACCATATATGACTAAAGATGTCAGTCACTGCGGCCAACGCGATTCTAGAAAAACCCAATGTCACAACATGTGCACAGTGGATCATTTGTAATGATAATCCATTCAGACAGCTACTGACAATCAGGAGACAGTGTCGCGCAGTATAGGCCTAGGGCCTACAGGGAGCACTAGACAGCGATTCGCTGGCTGGTGGTCATACGACACATTGAGTCCTTGGCTTAACTGTCAACAATCTGGTCTGTAGGACTAGCTCTGCATGGGGCTACAGATTCTGCACTATGTGACCAGTGTTTCATGCTTGTCCAACACCTATTTATTAAACAAAAAGTTTAGAAAACCTAAATAATTATGATTCCTAATTATTTTTAAATTAATACAATTGAATTTTTTTTGCAGATGTTAAGAACTATTATGCAAGTCATTTACCAGTAGTCTCCAAGCAGCCTGGGCGAAAAGAGAACCTGGCAGCGTCTCTGATGGAGGCTAATGCTGTCCAGTTAACGGCGGCTCTTGAATTGGAAACTGAATGGAATACAGCTGGTCTTCAGTCTCGTTTGTCCCAACAGGTTACACATCATTTTTATTGAATTTACTGATCTTGATTAAAATCACATCATGACCATATTTTGGTACATGATGACCATACAACAGATTTATTTGTGATGTGATAATCTCGATGGCATTTTTAAAGAGTTTTAACTGTGATAAAATTAGGAAAATCCATAAGAATTGAATAATATAATTATACTGTATAAGTAAGTTAAAGGAGATATTTTATCAACCTCCACAACACAGATAATAATATAATAATTTGTTATCGATAATCCTTTAATCGATTATAATATACTGTTTTTAATGGAAATCTTTAGATTTGTTATAGAAAATTTATGGACCAATGCAATGAGTATAAGAAGAGTTTATTTGAAGAGCAGTAAACCAATAATGGACCTGTTAATATTCAAAATATACCACCCCTGGACCATAGGATCGTGATTGTCGCTAAGCACCTCCTTGCAGAAACATACAGTATTCTCCACTGACATTTTAAAATATATTTTTGAGCAGCTGAACTGCTAATTTTCCTTTTATTGTGTGGAACACCAAATCTAACAGACCAGTTGCACCCTATTGTATTGATAAAATAAAAATTAAAAACCACATCCATAATTTTGCAATCAAAAAACTTTTCTTTGTGATTAAGTTTCTCATTTTTTTTTTGTAGGAATATCAAGCTCGAAAGAAAGAGCGTTTGAAAAAGAAAATTGCGGAACACCTCCGCCAAGGGCTTTCGAAGGCTGAAGGTCCTTCTGGGACGAGCCAAGCGGCTGATCTTATGCAGGTCCTCAACGAGTTCAATGAAAAGGGCGGCAGTAAGCAGAACAAGGGCTCTCGGTTTACTCACGCTGAAAAACTGCAATTTGCTCAGGTAAGAAAAAATAGTGTTTGTGACTTTGATTATTTTCTGTATTTCTGGTTCTTTACCTGTGCTGTTGGTTTGTCTGTCTGTCTGTAAGGTTATACAAAAAATAATGAATGGATCATAAAAATTACTGGAATGGTACATTAGTAATCTAAGAAAGAGATGATTAAATTTTGGGAAGAAATTGTCAAAGGTCAAGGTCACAGAAATTGGATTTTTTTAAAAACCCTTGAGCATTAAAGAAAATAATAGAATTGCCCACTGCTGCGTATTGTTCGGTATACAGGCATCGGGCAGAGGTAAGCACTCTGTGTAGTGACTGCGCTAGTGTTTCAGGTGTTATTGGAGTAGGTAAAGACATTGATAGACTTCCTTCTTGACAATTTGATAACAGAGGGAAAAATATAACTCAAGGTTATACTGTTTGAGATAAAGTGCCATTCCATTTTTATGAGGTGAGTTAAATGGCCGAACGGTTAAGGCAGGGTCACTTCAACTTACAGCCATAATATCAGCGCTGGTTTGAACGGCATGCTCACCTATGATTCTGGTGGTGGAACAAGTCTTCTCGGATATGGATTTTAACCGTAGGCCTAGTGAATGAGAAACAATTGGAACATCCAACTAGCCTGTAATTTTTTAGTTTTTAAATTACCTTATTTTATTCATTTCGGTAATATTTGAATATCTTCATGATGTGCTCCTCCCAGAAAGAAAAAAAACCCCACAAAAACATTTACAAAAAGAAAGTAAACAGATCGAATGTTATTGTTAAATATTATTACAGCTGAAACATAGACAGGGTATTTCTAAGATACTATGCTTTTACCGTGAAAGTTTTTTTGGCCAGGTTTTATATGCTAGCAATCAATTTAGAATCTTTGTCGTAGAAAATATTCAAATTATAAAAAATGAAATTGCTTTGTTACCTGTTTGTTTTCTGCTTTCCAGAATATCAATTTTTCTTTGACAAAAACTGTTGTATGCCCATATATAGTCATGATGTGCCTATGTAAATGGTCATGATGTGATGTCATCATGACTATATTTTCTTAGGCACATGTCATGTTTTTGTCAATTAAAATTTAATGGTCTAGACTTGGGTGTTATTAGGTGTTGATAAATTACAGCGTTTGACCCTTGAATAATGAGCAATCCAAAAAAAAAATATATCAGTATATGTTAGCTGCTAAAATTTCTTCCTGCTTACATATATTTGTTGTGATTAGTGAAGGTTCACTCCAACTCTAACACTAGGGATAATCAATTTTAAATTATAGCCGGTAAAATATACACTTTAGAATGACAACATGACTGGGAAATGTCACGTATCGGTAATTACTGATTTGTATATTTGTCCTGTAGGCCACAATATATACATTAACATCATCAGAGACAAAAACAACATCATTCATGTTTAGGCAGTGTGTTGGATATTAGTAAATGTTGTAAATGGAAATTAGAGTGCGCTTTCCTGCTGGTGAATCCCCTTTTTGTTTTATAACTTTATGCGGTTTTATACTATTACTAATAAGGTAACATAAAACGACTAGATGTTGAAGAAGATTACTTTCTATTTTAGTTTCTGAGTCATAGAAATTGAAAGTGGAAATTCCGCAGAAGAGAAATTTATAAACAATTTCGATTTCAAACAAAAATATAATTCTTCCCACTTCCTGCCAAGATAAAGGAAACACTCATTTAATGGTTGTGTTTTTTTTTTGTTTCTTTTCCTGAAGTGGTCATAACTTGTTAATACTTTCAAAATCAATCATTTTACATCATTGAAGGATGTAAAATGTACTGGTATTTTTAAGTTTGCTCTGGAAAAAGCAGACAAGATAAAATTAAATGAATTGCTGCCCACAGTTGACTGACTGGTCGTAAATATTTATTGCATTGAGAATCAGACTACCCATTCAATTCAAATTTTCAATTTCTTTATTTGGTAATCAAATAGGCCTACATATGAAATACACACACATAAACATTCTTTTAAATGGCAAGGTGCTAACTAATCTTATTAATGGATTAAGTGACACAATACAATTGTCAACAAATTTAAATATTTTAAATGTAAGTTTAAAAGGCATCAATATTATAGGTCTTTCTGTTTTGTAATTGTGTTTTTATACTGCATTTTTTTATTTTTTTATTTTATTGTAAGTTTTAACTTTGTCCACACGGCCCCAATGGAGACCAGTCTTTGACTGATGGGGCCACAATATATGGTCAGATAAAAGTTGAGCATGGTGACATACACACTCTCTGTTTTATAAACAAAATTAAATCTCGATATATAAATTGTTTACTTAAGGTTTTGCTTTCAACAGACTCCCGAACATAATTAAACAAAACATCATCAACAACTTAAACTTTGACTACACTGTCAAATTTATTCAAACTGTGCAATACACACAATTATTTTGTCTGATTTCTTAAATTGAACATTAAAGTAAAAAATTTCACAAACATTCTATGATTATTGTTCCTTATTTCTTTTCAACAGCCAGAAGACCAGACTGTGTCTCAGATTGGCATTGGTGAAGGAGTTCCAACAGCGGATTCTGAGGAGGTATGTTACACACTAAAATATAATGTTAAATACTTTATATAATTAATTAATTTGATATATTTCATTTCTAGGGGTAGATGTGTTTTTCTCCATTACTTTAGAGGTTTTTTTTAATAATCTCTGTAGTTGTTGGTATATTTCCTGAGAAACTTGAATAGATTATAACACAAGTATTGAACTTGTATAAACTTCATCTACCTACAATATAAAGTCTTGAGTTTGAATCTTGATGAGAACATATTTACTGTTGTATGCCCATATATAGTCATAATGTGCCTATATTTAGGCTTTGGATTGACAAAGATTGAAATATGTTTAATACAGGCACAATGTATGCATAGGCCTAGGTATAGAGTCCAGTTAGAATATGTATCAAATTGAAGTATTCATATTATTATGTATATATACTCGGTAATATATGTACATATACCGAGTACCGCTTGATTACTTTATTCGTGTGGAAATTTTTAGCCTATAATAATAATAATTCAACAACAGCCTTTTCAATTCAATTCAAAACTATCTATTCCAAATCAATTGACGTAATACAAAACAATTCAAATGCATCAAATGAAAAGGAATCGGACAACCGCAAGCAAGCAAATAAAGCTTTAAAACTGTGGTGCCTTTTGGAGAAGGAAGAATTAACTAAGTAAAAGAAAAATAATTAAATATATTAATCAATCAATAAATTAATTAGTTAAATAATTGTCTAATTATTTAAACAAATGATTGAATAATAAATAAATATAAATAAATAAAAATAAATAAATAGATATTAATAAATATAAATAAATATAAATAAGTAATTTAAAAAATTAATTAATTATTAAATGGATAAATATATAGATAAATTGATAAATAAATAAATGAATGAATATATATATATATATATAAGTAAATAAAAAATAAATTTATTAATTAAATGGATAAATATATAGATAGATAAATAAATGAATGAATATATATATATAAATAAGTAAATAAAAAAATTAATTAATTAAATGGATAAATATATAGATAAATAATTAAATAAATGAATATATATATATATATATATAAATAATTAAATAAAAAAATAGATAAATTAATTAAATGGATAAATATATAGATAAATAGATAAATAAATAAATGAATATAGATAAATAAATGTGACCCAAGCTCACAAACAGGCTGTAAACTCGTCCTCAGGCCAAAATGTTATTATGGCATAGAGCATATCATGTACTTTAAAATGACAGTTAAATGAATTCAATCGGGTGTCTGGAAGCAAAGTTATGACCGTTTAAATAATTGTCATGTTATCAACTTTCTTGGGTCACAAATGTCAGGCCATTGCTTGCTGATGGCCTCTTCAAACTTCATGCTGGTCTGTTCTTTGTTAGATTTGTCCAGTTCACACCGAGCTCCTGGAAAAGACCATTCCAACTCTTGTTTAGTCTTCCTCTTTTTTTTTCCCCCGTATAGCATCCATAATTATTATTATTATTTTATTTATTTTTTATCATATAATAATAATAATTATTATTATGCAGTATCAGAAATAATTCTTTTTGATTTTTTGCTAGATATATTATTGTTTCATCAATATTAATAAAATACTATTTTAGGAAACTTAACTACTTATTATAAGTTCCTGCTCCAGTTTTTGTCTTTTTCTCTCAATTGTTGTGATAGTTCCAGGAAATATCATCAATCAAATATTTAATTAAAACAATAAATTGCCCATTAAATATTATAAAATACTTATTAACTTCAAAATGACACAGATATATCGAAACAGTTATTTTTCTCAGATTTAAAAATGGTTTTGATTAACTATTAAAACATGCTTTAATTACTACATGCATTCAGATTACTGTGTATAACCAAACTGATGCTAATTTTATTTTTAATTTTTATTTATTTAAATACCAACTGCGATGAAAACTGCTGCTAACAGGTTTAATAAACAATCTAATATGAAATATAAATACTGTAGACAAACAGATATATCAATAACAAACATACAAACAACAAAACAAAAATTACTATCATTACTATAGACAAATAGATATCATATCAATAACAAACATAAAAAAAAAAAAACACAAACAAAAATACAATTATTCCCATTTGAAATCCTCATATTGATAAAATGAAAATTGATAAATGTTTATGTAACCAGTATAAGGGACCAAAACAAAATAATTGACTTTTTAGTATTCATATTCCCCACATTATAAACTTTAAAATGATAGTTTATTTATTGGAATTGACTTATTTATTTATTCTTTCTTTATACTGAATATACACTTTCAATACATAGTATTGGTTTCCAAAGTGGTTCAGTTCTTAACTACAAAAATTTTAAAAGCAGACATATACACATTGTAACCAAAAAAAGATTGATAACTTAACTACAAATTAAAATAGATTTAAAAGCAACATTGAAAGAAACTTAAGAAAATAAAATATTTAAATAATAAATATGGATATGCAAGGTAAGAGAAAATCAGGTTAAATTAGGATGGTATTATTAAGGATTTGAAATAGAATTCTTAAAATTTTAAAGTGTCATAGATTTAAAGTTGGTTTTAGTATGATCTGGGAGTTTATTCCATAATTTAGTAGATCGGTACACAAAAGTTCTTTTACCTTGCATATTATTCCAGGTGTATTCAATAAGTGTATTTTTACTTCGACTGCGAGTACAATGCATATGCAAACCATAATTAAAACAAAATTTTTCTTTAAATATGATGGAGCATGAATGAATGAATGACTTACTATTGCCAATTAAAGTTATGAGTAAAATTATTATGACTTCTCTGTACTGAAGTATACAATACTGCAACATTTTTAGGCTAATTACTCAGTTTTAAAATTTAGCGACAGTACGCTGGTTTTGGGATGGCAAATCTCATGTTCAAAGCATCAAATTGTTCATCTTTCATTCTGTCATTCATGTGCGAAGTCAAAGGTTAAAGATTACATCCATTAAGCAACACCCATATGCTGTTTTTGCCGGTATTATTCCAAGACAATCCCCATTTTAATATTATTTTCAGACATAATTTTCCTAGTTGATCCCCTGCCACATATGATATACATTTCTTATTACATTCTCAAACTATGTGAGTGACAACATTAATGTTACACATGATGAGTTCGCCATCTGTGCAGCATTAGATAACTGGATGGGCATATCCCTATTTGAGTCTAATTTTAAATCAAGGACAGAAAAATCAATCTTATTGAGAGCTCCGAAGTGAACCATTTTCATGATTGCCTCTTTGCATGTCTGATATATGCCATTTGTTGAAATTGTAGTTTTTCTTTTTCTTTGTTCTTTTAATCATTTTTTTTAATGTTCATTAATAATTATTATTGATAATGATTAGTTTGACTTTAAATTCATCTTACACCAAAAAACAGCCCCAAAGCACTTAACAAATAGTTTTTACAAAAGAAATTAATATGGTTTAAAAGCACATGTTAAAGATAACATTATATCACAAAAATTATATAGATATGTTATTTATTTATCAGTAGAGTATATTTCCACATGAATACATAATAATTATTAAAAAAACACTGTACTCTCTCATTAATATATATTATTTATTAGAAAAGCATACTTTCTCATAAATATTAT